TATATATATATATATATATATATATATATATATGAAAAAGTATGATGTTTCCCACAAAAATTTTAAGAAGCATTTTCAACACTAAAACTGTTTTCAACATTGATAATCATAAGTACGAGCATCAAATCAGCATATTAGAATGATTTCTGAAGGATCATGTGACACTGAAGACTGGAGTATTGATGCTGAAAATTCAGCTTTGATCACAGGAATACATTTTCAAATATATATTTTTTTATTGTAATAATATTTCACAATACAGTTTTACTGCATATTTGATCAAATAATTGCAGCTTTGATTAACATAAGACTTAGAGACTTCTTTCAAAAACAAACAAACAATAAACATTTTTGAGCCCAAACTTTTGAACAAATCTTTGCCACCTTTTGAAACTTCTATTAAAAGTTGAATATCATGTCCAACTTTTTGAATGAAATGGACGTAAATAAAAATCCAAGTAAGATATATTAGTCTAATGGTGCAATTTTAACAAGCAAATGGATTTCAAAACATGATTATGTAATTATTTTATACCAAACAAAACTGCAACTGCATTTTGATTGTAGGCAAAAGAGCAGCTTTGACATTCTTATAACTCTTTATATTCCATGAAAAAAATATTATGAGTTTCATGAGTAGCACAAGGGTGGATGTTGACAGAAATGTTCTGCAGAAGATGCGACTCAACTGAACTGAACAAACTGGACCCCATTGAATTTCACTAAATGGGCAAAAACTGTTCATGCCTCTTTCATTTTTGGGCAAACTTTCCCTTTAAGATCAAAAATAAAAATGATTTTTGGACCTTGCATTCAGATATCGAGGCCGGCACGTTTAAATACAAACTCGAAAGGTAAATTGTGAAACTTTGGTTGCCGTTGATACATTTCAGTGCTGTTACTTACCGCAACATCTTTTCAATGTCAATCAGATGTTTTGCGACGCGCAACAAGGGATTCGAAAACGATTTCTGCAACACCGGAATAACAGCATACAAACAATGATAATCTCAGCCAGTTACTGATTGCGTGCTTTTAAACGTGGTATATGTTGAACGTCCCCTGACCAAACCCGGAAAACAGGTCTCATCGCTTCCGCTCGAGTTAACAGCCGTATTAAATAATGCCAGAATGTTAGTGAAAAGAATAAAAATAAAAACTTTTAGATATCAATCCGCATATGTGATGGACATTGGTTATGATCATCTTTAATGAAGCATGCAAAACGCTTGAACTGGAAGCGAAGAGATCCGTTCAGCAGAATATGGAAATCTGTTGGGCATAACCCCTGTTAAAGTCAAATGTGTTAAATGTAAGTCTGAATATCATTTTGCGTGATCTTTATAGCGACAATGGATAATTTACCTTAGATCTTGAAAAATTAATTAAAGGAAACATAAACGTTCAAACTGTGAATGCAATGTGAACAAAAATGTGTATTCAGTGACAAAGATTGTATCAGCCACTCGGTGTGTATTTTTAATAATGTGAAAATGGTTTAATATTAGTGAATTAGATTACTAATCAATTTCGTTGCGAATGCAGCATGCTCTCAGAGAAAGGCTCCGCCCACACGCTTTTCTGATTGGCTGTGATTTTTGATTGATTTTGACACATCTTGCGTTGACAGACAAATTGCTTGTCGCTGGAATCTTATCGCCTCGCGTCCAGGACACGGTGTAAAACAAAAGCCTCAGGACAGACCTTGTGTACATTTCCTGTTTACGGCAGTGAAATGACATGATCCCAATGTGGTTTATCTTTATGAAATCAGTGCCCATACCGGAAGAATAAATCATCCTGTTTACGCTGGAATACGTGACACTCTCAGACGCCCGACATGAGGACCTGCAGGTGACCACTGAGAACATTTTTGCCCAAGTATCAACAGGAAAAGCTGGTTTCCCAGGATACACTGATCTGAAGCGCCGTTATAGTTTCGTCATGATGTAATTAACTCCAGGAGCATGACCGGAGCTCAGGTGAGACGATCTGCAGCAGCATGTTGCATCAGAATTGCGTAAGATGGGGAATATCTCCATTTCAAAGCCTAAAGATAGGAAACCGGTTTATTCTGTACCCCTGACCTAGCAGTTTGGATTTCAGCCTACGAGCTTAAAGGGGTCATATGATGCGATTTCAATTTTTCCTTTCTCTTTGGAGTGTACTCAAATTAGTTGTATATTATTTTTATTTTAAAAAATTATATAAATCTAATTTTAATTTTATTTATACAATTTTTTAAAAATATATTTGTCTATAAATATATTTTATTTACATACATTTTTAATCTATGCTTTATTGTATACAATTATATATACAACTTATACTAGTAACTTAATATAACAGGGTTGAAAGTTTTACAGTTTAACCTTACTAGCCTATTCAAGGTTATGAAAAGGTGCTGATATTTCAACTTTTTTTTTCCCTCAAGGAAATGAAAACAGAGACATTTGCCATTGGTTCCCTGTGGCAATCAGGTTCCACTATTTGTCTCCTCTCTCAAAAAATATGCCTTGCTGCACCCCTAAGATCAACCTTAAAGGGATAGTTCACCCAAAAATGAAAATGTGTTTATCTGCTTACCCCCAGGGCATCCAAGATGTAGGTGACTTTGTTTCTTCAGTAGAACACAAACGAAGATTTTTTAACTCTTCTGTCAGTCTGCCAGTTGCAGTCTGTCAGTCTTATAATGGAGGTGAATGGGAATCACGGCTTTGAGAGTCAAAAAAACATGCACAGACAAAACCAAATTAAACCCTGTGGCTCGTGACGATACATTGATGTGTAAAGACACAAAACGATCGGTCTGTGCAAGAAACTGAACAGTATTTATATCGTTTTTTACCTCTGATTCAC